TCTGAGCAGCGGCTGCCCTTCCACTGGGGCCTCCTCGGGCCCCTCCCGGCCTGGCCTCTCACCGCACCCACAGTTCCCTGTCTATGCATGCAGGGACAGAGACCCCTGGATCTGGCTCCACCATGTCCCTGGGGCAGAGCCTTCAGGGTGGGTGCTCTGAGGCTGCCTAGCACCCAGCCAGCAGGCAGCAGGCACAGCCCTGAGCCTAGGAGCCCTGGCCCAGCGCCCAGCCCACAGGTTTGGAGCCCCCTCTCCACTCCTGCTCTGGGTGGGGTGGAGTGCCACTCTCCTACACCAGGGCGGCCCTGGCTAGAGTCCTGGGGGCCTTCCTGAGGGGTTGCCTGTTCCTCCCCAGCAGGATGCCCGGACGGCCTGAGCTCTGGCGGTGGCTGGGGACGGGCTGTGGTGTGCACACCTCTCTATGACCTGCACCTCTGGAGGCATGTTCTTGGGAAAAGCGGGCGCCATGCCCTCAGAAGAAGGTTCCTCTCTCATGCCCAGTGCCCCCTTCCCTCTGCTCCCTGCTCCCTCTCCCCTTCCCTCCTGCCCTCTCCTCCCTCTGGTCCTGTGTTCAGGGCCTCTTCCCACAGCCAGGTCAAACCCCAGGGCCCTGGCTCCCCTCCTTCCTAGCCTGACCCTCCACCGTGGCCGCAGGCTAGCAGCTGCAGGGAGGGGGCAGGCCAGGCCAGGGCAGGGCAGGGCAGGGCTGGTGTCCAGGTGGAGGGCTCTCACCAGAGCTGTCCCAGGACAGGAAGGAGGGGTGCAGAGCTGGGCGCTAAACCCCTGTGCTCACAGCTGAGGCTTGAGGACTAGGCCTGGGCTCAGACAGAAGCCACCTGGGGAGACCAAGGCCTCCCAGGGCCCTGCAGGCCAGTGGGACTTTTGCGCAGAGGGTACAGAGGGCCCCAGGGGACAACCTCCAACTTCCTTTCCCTCCATCAGGGATTGGCTGCACCCTGCCGCCCTGGATGGCCTGCTGGGAAGGGACGGGAACTGAAGCCCAGAGCTCTTCTGTTTTCTTCACTGGGGGGTGGGGGGATTGGGGGGAGGACAGTAGGAGGGAGAGGGGAGAGACCAGGACAGTGGAGAGAAAAAGGAGGGAGAGGGGAGAGAGAGGGCGGGAGCAGGGTGGAGGAGCGGGGCTGAGGTTGGTGGGGGAGGCCAGGAGAAGGAGCCACAGGAGCAGGGGAGTAGCAGGGAGGGGAGAGGAGGGCGGCTGCTGTCAGGGCCGGGAGCCCCAGAAGTGGTGGCGGGCATGGCGAGCTGTCTCCGGAGACGGCCACTTTAAATCTTAATTGGCTGCCTCTTAAATATCATTTAGGGCGGCTTCCCTGCCTCCCCCTCTAGTTAAGAAGGTGTCGTGTCAAACTCTATTACTTGCAGGACGGCTCTCCTTTCAGTTAAAAAAACCGTGGGGGGGGGGTAGAAAAAAATGGAACCTTCCGTGGCGGTTTGAGGGGTCGATAAAGCTTTTAGATTTGGAGACGTTCTCCGGAGCCCATCTCCTGCGGCTAAGAGTTGTTAATGGGGCTTAAGGAATTACCCCGCGCCGGCGGCCAGGGCCGTATATTTCCGCGGTCCCTTGTCGCCTGCATCTGCCTGTCAGACCCGCTTAATGAAAAGCAACGCGCGGCTGATTACAGTTTTATTTGGGCGCGCTGTAAAGAACGCCGTTAATTTAGCATCCTCCGCGTGCGTTTGAATTTGCCACGCCTGGACGGCTGAGCGTCCCTCCCCGCTCGCCTCCGACCACCTCCGAGCCGCGTCTGGCCGCCCTGCCCGGGCGCGGCGGACAATGGCCTCGCCGCCACCTAGGTTTCCTTCCCAGTCTGTCCTCACGGCGTCGCGGACCCCCTTCCTCACCGCGGGATTTCCTGGCGCCGACCCCCTCCCCGACCCTGAGAAGCCCGCCGGGGAGGGACCGGGAAGCCCCCGGACCGCGCGGCCTCCTGGGCGTGTGCTCCCCAGCACGGCCTCGCTCTCCGCACTCCAAGTTCTTGTTTCACGGAGTCCCGGTTATTCACAGGAGCCGGTCTCCCCGAGGCCAGGGCCTGCCCCCACGTGCAAGTCCAAGGGCCAGGGCGGGCGGGCTGGGTGCCGGCGCACCGGCGAGGCAGGTGTCCAGAGCCACGAGCTCGCGCCCCGGCGCCCCAGCCCTGGGAGCCCGCTCTCAGCCGGGCCCAGCGCACACCGCTTGCACCCGCGTTCCAGCGCCCCGAGCTCGCGCCCCGGCGCCCCAGCCCTGGGAGCCCGCTCTCAGCCGGGCCCAGCGCCCACCGCTTGCACCCGCGCCGGCCTGCCTCCGCAAAGGCTCGTTTGCTGCGAACGTCTGGCTTTGTCTTGGCTGGGGTGGGGGCGAGCTCGGCGGCCGCCCTTGGCTGCATTAAAATTCCTGGCGCCCCAGTCTCTGCGCAACGCGTCTCCCACGAGACCCCACTTCCGCTATTACTGTCAAGTACCCTTGACTTTTTATTTTTGCCCTTTTATCTATTACAACTAATTCGAGTTCTTTTGCCCTTTTCAGTCTAAGACGTGGGCTTTCTGCAAAGCCTCCCCCTGCAAGCCAGCTCTCGGAGCGCGGAGCCTTTAGAAATTGAGGGGTTTACTGTCAAAATGAAAATTTCACTTCAAATTATCTTGGCTGATGCTCGCTCGCCAGGCCGGGGGCTCCCCGCAGCCTTTGACAGGCACATCAGCGCCTAGCTTCCGAGCCTCGATAATATCATCCGCGAGAGCGAAAGTCAATACGTGACAGCCGGGCGGGACAATCCAATTACGGAGCGGCCGCCGGGGCAGGCCTCGGGCTTGGCGGTGGCCGGGGTCCCACCCTCAGGGCTCGGGCGTGTCCACCATTCAGGGGACCTTGGGCGAGTCCAGACTCCTGGCTCCCGCCGAGCGCGGTTTCTCTCCCTCTCCCATGCCGGCCCCACTGTCCAGTCAGCTTTCCGGAGCATGGACCTGCTGAGGGCCCGTCCTAGAACCCCCAGGTCCTCCCGCGGGCACCCCCAGCCCAGGACAGTAGAAGAAAGTCGCTGCCCGCCTCGTGTGTCCGCAGAGGGCTGCCCAGCAGCAGTGAAATGGCGGGGCTGGCTGGTGCGTCTGTGGTGGTTCCCAGTCCTCGCTCTGTGCAGGGCCCTCCAGGCTGGGATGCCGCATCCCTTGGGCACTCTGCCCTTCCACGCTGGCTCCCTAGTGGCTCCCATTTCCTTCCGGACACCTGGGACTTTAGGAGGTCCACTGGGCCTTCGGCGCGGCACTGGCAGCTGAGAGCCAGGAGCGCTGCTCCAGACCCTGGAGGGGAGGGAAGGGCCCTCCCACAGGCCAGGGGCTGCCAGGTGCCCGGGAGCCAGTGGATGGGCGGGCCAGAACCTAGGGCTTCCCAGAACCTGGGTGGGGAGCCGGGTTTCCTGGGGGAGACTGCGAAGTGAGGGGCCTAAGCAGCACAGAAGGGGCCCACGCCCTCCCAAACCCCAGTTGGCCCAGGGTTCTGCCCCCAGCTCTTCCAGCCCCACCCCAGCCTGCTAAAGTTTGCGCAGCCGCACTGGCTTGCCCCCCTGGGGCCTGGAAGCTACTGGCCGGTCCAGGGGCCAGACCCTGGGAAGAGGGCAGGAGGGTTAGTAAGGAAAGGCACTGAGAGGCCTCTGGGCTCCAGGGAGGGTACACCAGAGGAGGACCACTAGAGGGTGGGACATCAGGGTCACCCCCAGTGTAGAATGTCCAGCCTTCACTCTCACCTAGTTGGAGACTCCCCATTTTCTCCAACTTCTGAAGTCTGATCACTGAAGAGTTTAAAAGTTTGGGGTCTCATGGACCAGCAGGTGGTGTGGTGATTAAGGGCACTGGACTCCCATGTGACTGACAGTGGTTCCAGTCCTGGACCTGGTGGCTTGCTTTCTCACTCTCTCCCTCTCTCCCCTCTCTCCCTCTCTGGTCAAATTAAAATAAAGTTTAATAAAATGACTCTTTTTAAAATAAAAGTTTGGTGTTTCACATCACTTCTATTATGGAGTTCAGTAGAACTCTCAAAGGGTTTTGTGTTTTGAGAGGTTTTTGCTATAGGACACATGCCCTCACTAGGGGGGGGGGAAAGACCTAGAGAAAGTGCGAAATCACCCCCCTAGGGGCATGGCCAGGCCTCATCTCTTTTTCTCCATTCTCCTGTCAGGATTTTGCGTGAGTTTAAGCTGCCATGTCAGGGACTCCAACTGTGGTCAACTACGTGGGAGTCCAGCGACGTAACCATTATGCCATCTGCTGGTCCTAAGTGACTGTTCTTTGGAAAATGGCTTTAGAGAACGTCTTGTATTTGGAGAGTGACTTATCCAGGCGGAGTCTGGGTCTGCATCCACCGGGGCCCACTCTTCCTTTTGAGGGTTAGTGAGCCTCCCTTTGAACCCTCAGATTCCTAGGTTCGGAGAGTGAGAATGTTCGTTTTGCAATGCAAACACCATCACTAGGTTTTATTGTTTCTGTTGTATTAGCCCTGAAGCAGGCAATTATTGGTGCGAACATACATTTTTAGAAAACATAATTTTATCGAGCCAAGAGTGTGCAACAGTGTAAACTTGGTGAAGTGCTGTTGGTGAGAAGGACGTGCGGAGAACCGACTCGGGAGATACACAGGCTGAGGAGTCTTCCAAGAACCGCATGCCGCAAACCCAAAGGAGACCGCAAAACAAAAGGACGCCTCAGACGAAGCACTCTCCCTGTAAACTTCTGAACGGAAACATGGTGCCTCCGCGGTCTTCCTTCTGCTGCGAGGGGCTGCTCCCGGCGTGGCGTCCTGGCTGGCCGGGCCTGGTCATGACCTGGGGGTCAGAGGGCCTGGCGAAGCAGCACCTGGGGCTGGCGCCTGGCCTGAGATGGAGTTCAGACCCGCCCCGTCCGGAGAGCTGGCTGCCTTGGCTTGGCCTCACCCTTACCTTCCTTTGGAAATTCGGTAAAGAGTGGGCGCTGCGCCCGCAACCCGCACCGAAGGCGGTTCCCTGGGTGGCCGCAGCTCAGGAGCAGAACGGCTTGGCGCCCGCCTTGGGCGGGGCCAGCAGCTCCCTGGCTCCACCCGCAGCCTGAGCGTCTGGGGATGAGGCGGGCGGGAAGGTGCGCGCCAGGGGCGCCGTCAGCACGTTAGCGCCCGCCCCCAGCGAGCGTCCCAGAGGCCCCGCGTCCAGGAGCGCCCCCTTGGCGTTGGCCCAGGCCTGGTTCAAAGTGCTGTGTCTGAGGATGGGGTCGTGGAAGACCCCGTCCACCCAGTTTCTGAGACTGGTTACTGGGGAGTCCTGGTGCCTGTCCAGAGCACCAGAGGCGGCTGCGCCTCCCGGCGAGGACGTGGCTGGAGCCGAGGCCACATGGGCAGCGGGACCTTGGCGTTTGAGCATGCAGGGTGGAAACTCAGTCTGGCTCAGGGCCCCGGCGGCCGTAGCTGTGTGGGCTAGTGACCAGATGCGGGGCTTGGCCTCCAGCCTCGCAGTGGCCGCTTGAACGAAGCCCAGCTTAGCCTCGCAGGCCTGGCTGCCCTCGGCTCCAGGCTGCTGCTCCTGCCGAGCCGCCGCACTCCGGAGGCAGCTCCGGGCCCGCTCCAGGTCCTCCTCCAGGGCAGCTGCAGCCAGGGGCATCCGGAGGGCACTGGAGGCCTCCTTGCCCACGGAGCCAGGGCCCTCGGGCACAGCAGGTGCCCGCTCCAGACCTCCAGCCAGGGGCTGGAAAGGGGCCTTGAGCTGGCACTCCGGAGTCTCAGCCTCCAGTGAGTCAAAGTCTTCCAAGTCGCTGAGCCCCAGCTCCTTTTCTTCTTTGCTGACAGGCTCTGCCAGGAGGGGAGGGGGGCGAGGAGGTGGCTGCCAGGAGGGGAGGGGGGAGAGGAGGTGGCAGGTTACAGGTGCCTCCGGCCACGCCTCCAACCACCCCTCCGGGACCCCAGGGTTCTGGGCTAATCCTGAAGCCATACCTCCCAGCATCACCCCCGCCCCCAGGCTCCAAGACAGGAACTAACAACAGCAGGGACTAGGAGGGTTAGGCCTCAAGGTACAGGGTTCCCTCTGGCAGCTCAGGGGCCACAACCCCCAGGTGACTCGTCCACTGCAGGCTCTGCCTCTGCAGCCCCAAAACTGGCAGGAAAGGCGCCCAGCGCTGACCGCTCACCTTCATTCTTGGTACCCTTGAGAGGCTCTCCTGCCCCTTCCTCCTCAGGCCCCTCCTCGTCCTCGCCCTCCGGGAAGGGCCTCTTCTCGTCGGCACACTTGTTCCTGGGAGGCCACGTCATCTTGTTCTCCTTCTTGAGGCGCCGGCGCGCGTTGGCGAACCAGGTGGAGACCTGCGTGAGGGTCATCTTGGTGATGATGGCCAGCATGATCTTCTCGCCCTTGGTGGGGTAGGGGTTCTTGCGGTGCTCCTGCAGCCAGGCCTTGAGCGTGCTGGTGGTCTCCCGCGTGGCGTTCTTCCGCCGCGTGCCGCTGTCCATGGTCCCGTACCTGCAGACACCCTGCCATGGGGCTCCGCCCATCGCACCACAGGCCAGCTGCCTGGGGATGCTCCCCAGGCCTTCTCTGGTCTCAACACCCGCTCTGCCCCTGCCCAGCCCCAGGCCCACCGGGGCGTCCCTGCTGGAGGGCAAAGAGCATGTTTACGTTTGATTAATCTTACAGGAGGCTGGGCTGCTTCCTGAGCCACAGGCCATGGCCTCTGTGCCCCCCCCCAGATGTTTCTTAGCGCTCCTTTAGGGGGGTCTCTCCTGTTCCTTTGACCCTCAACCCATGAACACATATCACAGAACTGCGAGCCGCCCCAGCGCGTATGCAGGAGTGCAGAAAGGCTTCTTGGTTCCTGGGAAGGAAGCACCCACCAGTCCAGGGAGGCCCTTGGGGTGCCTGGGGATGGTCCCTGGTGGAAGCCAGCGCTGTCCCAGGCAGAAGGCCTTAGGGGCTTCCACCTCCAATTCCCACTAGACTCCGCACACTCCCTGGGAGAGGACGTTCCCCTGGTGAACCGGGCAGGCAGCCACCCAGGCTGTGGAGCCGGGACACACGCTCCTGCTCATCTCTATTGGGGGCTGGGCATAGGCTGGCCAGATGGGAGATGGCAGCAGAGCCTCCTCAAGTCCTAGCAGGCCAAGTCAGTCCTTTCTGACTCCCTAGTCCTGGCAGGGCGTGGTGGGTGGGGCTGTGGCGGGTCCAGGCTGTGGGATCCCTCACCTGTCGTAGGGGTACTGGCCCAGCGCTGGCTCGTAGGGGTAGTAGGCTGCTGGTGCCAGGCCTGCATGCGTGGACCCGGCTCCGTCCTTGGACTCAAAGCTGTTCTGCAGGAGCCCAGGTCAGGGCTCAGCTCCAGGGACTCAGCCTGGCTTGCCCCTCCTCAGTCCAATGGCTGGAGCAGCTGCCTGCAGACCCCTGGGCAACCCTCCCCTCTGCCCACCCTGCCAGTGGGGGGGGGCATTTCCTACCCCCTGCAAGGGTGAGTGAGGACACAGCAGGGAGGGGTCTGGGAATGGGGGACAAAAGGGGGATAAAAATGGAGAGGAGAGGGGAGAGTCAGGGGGAGGGGACAGGAAGAGCAAGACTGGGGGGAGTGGGGGGTAGAGGGGTGGAGGAATGGGTGGGGACTTGTGGGGAGGTGCAGGAAAGAGGAGGAGTGGGAAGCTGGAAGGAAGGGGGGAGAGAAGGGGGGATCCTGAGCAGCCCACAGGGGATGGCAGCAGGAGGAGCCCCAGGGGAGACTGGAGGAGAGAAAGGGGGCCTGGAGGGAGAGGGAGCTAGGAGGGCAGTCCAGGGGAGCAGGACTTTTTGGGGGTGCAGGAGGGGACAGGGCAGAGCTGGCCCATCACAGACAGAAGAGCCGCCCCACTAGATCAGGATTTAACATGGAGGAGGCCGGCGGCCAGGCACTGGAGCCCCAGGTGGCGCGTGTTCCCAGGGACTAGTGTGAGAGGCGAACCCCCCGCCCCCCGCCCCCCCGCAGTCCAGGGCTAGGGGAGCAGGGCGGGGACTTCCCTACCAGGGAGTAGAAGGCGGAAGCCTCAGAGCCATAGCTCACGTAGTTGCCGTATCCCTGGGAGCCGCCGTAGGGGCCCGCGTAGACTCCCAGCGCGGCGGCCGAGTTGAGCTCGTGGCGCGCAGTGGCCAGCAGCCGGCTCTCATAGACCGGGCAGTAGACCGGCGCCTGGGCCGAGGCGGCGGGCCCCGAGTCGGCCAGCGGGCGGCCTCCGGACTCGCAGCACGTGCTCAGGGAGTTGGTCGTCATCAGGAACTGGGGGGAGAGGGCTGCGAGGAGGGACGGGCACCAGGCGCGAAGGGGCCGCCCACGAGGGGCGTCCCGTGTCCCCAGGGGCCTCGGCCGTGCCCAGCGGAGCGCGGGGCCCTTCCTGGGAGCCCCTCCGTGCCGCGGGCGGCCCCGCCCGGTGTCCGCGCCCTGAGGGGTGGGCTCCAGGCCGCCCGCACCCGGAACCGCCAAGTCTGTCTTTTCCCCGTACCTCCCCGGCCGGGCCAGCTCCCCTGGTGAGCCTCGGAGCCCAGACCGAGCCCGCCGGCAGTCTCCGGGCGCTCAGCCTCCCTGGGCCACTGGGTGCCCACCGCCCCGCGAGGGTCTCGCAGCACCGGCCTGCAGCTAAAAAGCCACACGGGGTCGTGGTCGGGTGGCCAACCCGCCAGTGCGTCCGCCGCGTCCCCGAGGCCCTCGCGGGGACACCCTTACCTGGGGAGCCGAGGAGTAGGGGTACCCAAACTGCGGGTAGGACATGGCGGGCGCGGCCCCGGGCCGGCGCTGTGCGACCGCTGCTCGTGCGCTGTCCTAGACGCTGGGAGGGCGAGACGGAAGAGCCGCTGAATTCGTCCGCGCTGCGGAAACTTTTCTAGCCGGCCCCGAAAGTGCGCGGCCGAGGCCGCGGCGAATATTTCAGCTCTGCAACCAGGAGCCTCGAGGGGGCTCTGGGGCCGGCCGGACTCGGCGCA